TCTAAATATACTCTAACATTTTTAGTTATAATTTTTATGTTAAATTTATATTTTTAAATACGCATCTCAGAAGCAAAATCTTATTAATGACTCAAACCATAGTTGATTATAGCTTCTGATTACAAATATAATTGTTGTTTTCTTGAGTAATCCGGGCCAGAAAAGGGACAAAGCTTAAACAGTGGAGGCCTTCCAAGATTCTCTGAAAAAATCATTGCAGCCAATGCCAATTAATCCACATCTTTGGGGAGAAGCAAACAAATGGTCATAAGGATGGAGGACCACAGTGTAACTTGTCCTTTAAGTTTGATTCAGCCTGCATCCACAATATTGTGATTTGTGAAGGTTCTAATATGCACCTGTCAATATTTATGCTCAATCAATGCATTTTAACCCCCTTTCCCACTTACGTACCTTTCAAGGTCAAAGCTGCCACTAATGTGTTCTGCTCCAATAAATAATAATTCACAGCTACCTCCAAAGAAGCAAAACTTACGCCAACTTCTGTCAACACTTCTATAACCATTAAGATACACACACAAAAATAATATTTTGATCATATTTTTAATGAATGTAAAAGATTTTAATAGATGATTCCAAATTTAAAACTAAGCATACACTCGTTTAAATTTTCAACTATTGTTTCAAATAGTCCGTCCTTTGCATTAAACACCAAATCCCCACTAATGTTCTTAAGAGGTGCCAATTAGATAACACTTCTATCATCATGAAGATTAACTTGATGTTTTAACTATTAAGAAACCCCACTGCCACTGCCACTGCCACTGCCAGTAATATTAATATATCAAACACTTTACCCATTATAACATAAATTTGCAAAAAGGAATAGCACCCTTAGGAGGCTCTTAGGTATCAAATACTAAAACCTATTGGATTAAGAAACATCGTTCAGAAAGGGGCAGAAAAAGGAAGTGGGGTGGTTGATTCTGTATAAAAGATAAGAGCATAATCTTGTGCTCTGGTGGCAAAAAGGAATTGCATGTGTTGTGGTGACTTTATGCTATTTTTCAGAATTACTATTCTAACCCTTAATTTGTACACACCAACGACAAGTTTTCCGTCTACAAAAAGAATCACAAAGTCCTTTTATATTTGTCTTCTCGCCCTTTCGGCCGGGCCTTCTCAAATAGTGCTAAACTGATAACTCCAATATCTGAGCATAAGGTCCAAAATCGATATACTGTGCCTTATCTCTGTTAATTTCGTGCATGTTTTCTTCCTTCCCTTCAAAGAATAATAGAATGCTGTCACATTGCAAATTATTGACCAAGTAGGGGTCCTCACTCCTCACTTCCATGTACTTGGCATGCCAGTGGTACTTCTATTCATCCTTATTTATGATAATTCTAGACTCTTAATTTTATTTTATAAAATATGAACATTAATCCTCATAATGTATCTTTTGCCTTATGTGTGTAGTTATCCTACAAGGTCTTTGATTTTTCTTTAATAATATATGTATTATTTATATAAAGAATTTATTTATTTTTTTCAAATAAATAATTTAATTTAAATGTATTAATTTTTATACAGTCATCCAATTACGAATTGATGTATACACAAGAGTCATTAGTTTTTGTATTAATTAAGATAAAAAAATCATACATGCTATATATTCTAATTCACTGACAGTTTGAAATTTTTTATTTTAAACTGAAGGTGTACTAAAATAAAATTCTTTTATAAATTATCCCAATGTTTGGTATTATGACATTTCACGTCACTTAATTATTTTAATTTTTGCTGTCTGACCTCAATGTTTGTTGTCCTAGTAACTTCAAATTTCGCTATCCGTCGCTGGATATTCTAATATATTACACAAACTCTACAGCAGAAATATCATATGATGATATAATTTTCAGACATTCTATATACATGAATTATGCATCCAAATTAATGATAAAAGAAAATGAAGGGAAAGGTAGCTTGCTGTGCAGCTCCTTGAAAAGTTCCACTTTGAAGAGCAAAGTCAGAGCAGAAGGGTAAAAGCATAAGCAAACGGAAACCGGAAATGTGTTTAGACAGAAACAGAAAAGAAAAAAAGCTGAACACAGTGGTTTGGTAGAGTTGAGACAGAAACATACACAAATGAAGCAGAGTAGTAAAAAATGATAATTTTCAACTGTTTATGGAAGTGAATAAAATTTTTGTCAAGGGAAGGGGGGAAAATTGAAAAAACATGTTGGTTTTGTACGTGAAGTGTGCTAGGCTTGATTGTCAGAGATGTGAAGAGTAGTTTTGGAAGTGTTGGAACGAGACACAAGAGAGGACAAGTGGGTGGTGTATAAGACGAACACAGCTTAAGTGATTTTGATTGGTATTATTGTACACCCTTTTGAATCCTTAATTTGCCACCGCAAAATGGGGCCACCTAAATTCCACACGTGAGAATCTTCTTTAGATTTGAGTACATTCTTGTGGAGAGCAATTAGGGGGGGTCGATGTCATATTGAGGGTTAAACATGGCATGTGATTCCACTTCTATCTTATTCATGTTGTTTTGCTGGCCTGTGGACCTTGTGGGTTATATGCATTTTTTAATCACACTTCCTTCTCCATTAGCTTTGCATCCATGCCAATCCCTTCTCTTTTTTACGTTACAATTTTACACAAACTATTCATATAAATTTAATCTTATATTGTGTAACTTGGAATAAGATTAGTCCTCAACCAATTAAGTACCCAATCATAGTTTGAATAAGATATTTGTGAGAAATCATTGATATTGTAACAACAATAATAGTAATAATTTTCAAGCACACAATAAACACTTTATGAACTCGACCCCTTGCCAACGCCAGTCTTGTCTTGTTTCTTAATTTATTGTCTTCTTTTTTCTTCCAACACTCTATTCATGATAACTATCATATGTTTAAGGAAAGTGACAAAAAAACCTCTGATGATAGAGTTTCTATGGCCACAATATAGAGATAGGGGGAGTCACAATACTCTCAAACTTTTGTTAGCTTACACACACAGACTTAAATTGGTCTCTGATAAATTTAGTCTGAAATACATTTTTATCGAGATACATTAATTCTTTAAAAGGCTGATATAGCCTACATTTGTAAATTTTAAAAATAAAATATTTCCATTTTTAAAGATTGATTGCCCACTTCAAAACCTTTCAAATATTTGTATCATCTGTTTGTTTCATAGGCTAGAAAACAAGGAGAAAAAAATAATAATTTAATTAAGAATAAGAAAGTAAATAAACAAATTTTTATTTCTAAATTTCTAAATTTTCTTTTGCATTATTTTAAAAAAATTACATCATTATTTATATTTTCTTCTTTCTCTTTTTCTTTTCTTGTTCAAATATACTATTGTTGCTGTTTTACCATTAACCCATCTTACATTAAAAAAAACCTATCTACAAATTATTTGGCTTCTCCAAAATTTTTGTTCAAGATCCATCATTGTCTACAAGATTGTTTATTTAAAAAATATATATAGTTTAGTTTTTTCTCATAATAAAAAATTAAGTCAATTAAATCAATGGACGAGAATATCGATTATTGACATGCTCAATTGTTGTGTTTTCAAGGAATTTCCAAATCAATCTTTTGAATCTATATTATGGGAATAGTAAGAATTAGGACTTTATCTGGGATTTTAAGAAAAGAAAGAAGAAAAAAGTTTGAAAAGTAAAAAAAAGAAAAGAAAACGGAGGAAAATAATGGTTAACAAAAAAATCTTCTAAACTTAGAAAACTTAAAAGTATATGCTTATGAAAGTTTATAAAACTTCTCTCTCATTTAAAGACGCCTAAACAAGAATTATTATCACATAAGTATTATTCTTTCTTCCATTTTTTCTTAAAAAATAACTCAAAAACAAAGCATAAGATACTTGTGTTTATGTTGAAGGCTTTTTCTTACTCTGTCACCATATAGTATGCCTCTCAACGAGAAATGGAATTATATCATGTTCTTTCTTTACTATTGCTCTTAAAACTTCGTTAATTGCCACAATGGAAGCTCGATATGGATACAATGTAGACATGTTATGGAATGAAGAAGCTACATCATTATCAACCAGTGTTGTCAAATCCAAAACTTTCCCAGGATTCTAGTCGCTTTAAAACAAGGCCCAATGGGCCCTCTCTTCCTATTCGTTGTCTTACTTGGGCCTGATCAAATCCAAACCTCTTATTATTTTCAGGCCCTAATCTGAGATTGCCATACCCAGCTTCAGCCTATCATAATGGTTGACAAAAAGCCAACATAATGACTGCCAAAAAAAAAACTAACATGAATCACTTGGTTAAGGAAAAACAAAAAAAAACTAACATAAATGTCTTAAGAAATGATAAAAATGGTAGTAATATAATGCAAATATGTTCATATAGTGACTACGTATTAAGTAAAACCATCTCTTGTAAGGAATATGTGAGAACAAATTTAAGAAATATTTTTATTTTCATAATTAGTATCTTAAAGACTGATTTTTTTGTAGAACAAAACAAAATAAAATAAAATATTTTATCCTATTTGAATACATTATTTGATGAGTTAATATGATAAAATAAACTTATGACAATGACTTGTCATGTATTAATCTATTAAAAAAGTTATCATATAGAGGTTAAGTTGAAAAAAGGTAAAATAAGACAAGTTAAATTATTTTTCTCCCTTTTTACATACTTCATTATTTACATGAGTTACTGAAGTTTGTCCTTGCAAATATTCTCAGTCAGTCGGTAATTTTTGAAAGACAAATTTAATAGCAAAAAATAAAAAAAACAAATTTATAACGATCAGTATTTCAAATGATAATAACAGGAACAAAACCCTTGAATCAGATGAGGTTGGTGGATTAATTTATTGGCAATATTTGTGTTATATGATCAAATTATAATTATTGGAATGAACAAATTATTGGAAAAAACAAATTAAAATATAAAAGAAATAAAAGAATATTACTCTTTTGAAAACAAAAAAGAAGATTAACAGAAAGAGAGTGGGTCAAATTGAAGTTAGATGAGTTGAAGATTTACCAATCCAGACTTGAGATTCAAATGATGAGGACAAAAATCTTGTTAGGTTCATATTCTTTTAAAAAATACTTACAATATATTGTTTGAGGGTTTAACACTTTTTAAATGATTAATATAAAAATTTTTTTGAAGCAATTCAAGACAAACAGTTAAACTTGCAAATCCCTCCATTTTCTTTATATCGAAGCCGCGCACAGTCAAATTCACTCTCACTCTTTTTAAATTTTTGTTATTTATTGATTCATCTCATTCATCTTTCAAAGCCCAAAATCTCAACTCATAAACCCTAGCAACAATGGAGTGGAACCCTCAGACCCTCCAATTCCTCTCCGAATGCTTCCTACACACCCTCTCACCGGCGCCGGAGCCACGCCGCCGCGCCGAATCCTCCTTAGCCGAAGCCGCCGACCGCCCCAACTTCGCCCTCGCCGTCCTCCGCCTCGTCGCCGAGCCCTCCATCGACGACCAGATCCGCCAAGCTGCCGCCGTCAACTTCAAGAACCACCTCCGTCTGCGGTGGGCCTCCGACGACGCCCCCATCACGGAGCCCGAGAAGGAGCAGATCAAAACCCTAATCGTCCCTCTCATGCTCTCCGCCACTCCCAAAATCCAAGCACAGCTCAGCGAAGCCCTAGCCCTAATTGGCAATCACGATTTCCCCAAATCGTGGCCCTCTTTGCTCCCCGAGCTCGTCGCCAGCCTCCAGAAGGCCTCTCAGGCCTCCGATTACGCTTCCATTAACGGTATTCTTGGCACCGCTAACTCAATTTTCAAGAAGTTTAGGTTTCAGTACAAAACCAATGATTTATTGCTTGATTTGAAGTACTGTCTCGACAATTTTGCCGCTCCTTTGCTTGAGATTTTCCTCAAAACCGCGTCGTTGATCGATGCTGGCACCGCGAACCTGCGGCCACTCTTCGAGTCGCAGAGGCTATGCTGTAGGATATTTTTCTCGTTGAACTTTCAGGAGCTTCCTGAGTTTTTTGAGGATCACATGAAAGAGTGGATGACTGAGTTTCGAAAATATCTCACTACTAGTTACCCTGCTCTCGAGAGTAGTGGTGCCGATGGTATTGCTCTCGTGGATGAGCTTAGGGCTGCGGTTTGTGAGAATATTAATCTTTACATGGAGAAGAATGAGGAGGAGTTTCAGGGCTTCTTGAATGATTTTGCACTTGCTGTTTGGACTTTGCTAGGAAATGTGTCCCAGTCATCTAGCCGTGATCGGCTTGCTATCACGGCGATCAAGTTTTTGACCACGGTTAGCACTAGTGTTCACCATACATTGTTTGCTAGTGATGGGGTTATACCGCAGATTTGCCAGTGCATTGTGATCCCTAATGTGAGGTTGAGGGAAGACGATGAGGAATTGTTTGAGATGAATTATATTGAGTTTATAAGGAGGGATATTGAAGGGAGTGATCTTGATACTAGGAGGAGGATTGCTTGTGAGCTACTCAAGGGTATTGCGACGCATTATGGAGAAGCTGTCAAAAACATTGTTTCTGCACAGATACAAAGTTTGTTGAGTTCGTTTGCTGCAAACCCAGCGGCAAATTGGAAGGACAAGGATTGTGCTATATATTTGGTAGTCTCTCTTGCAACCAAGAAGGCTGGAGCTAGTTATGTCTCCACGGAACTCGTTGATGTTCAAAGTTTTTTTGAGTCTGTGATTGTCCCTGAGCTGCAAAGTTCAGATGTGAACGGGTATCCTATGCTTAAGGCAGGTGCACTCAAATTTTTTACTATGTTCCGGACTCAAATATCGAAGCATTTAGCTTTGAAGTTTTTCCAAGATTTGGTTCGTTTCCTTGCTGCAGAGTCTAACGTTGTTCATTCCTATGCGGCAAGCTGCATTGAAAAACTGTTGTTGGTAAGGGATGCGGGGGGTATAGCACGTTATACTTCGGCTGATATCAATCCAATTTTCCCAGTGTTGATGAACAATCTTTTCAGTGCCTTGAAGCTCCCAGAGTCTGAAGAGAATCAATATGTAATGAAATGTATTATGAGGGTTCTTGGTGTTGCAGAAATATCTGTTGATGTTGCTCGTGTTTGCATTGAGGGGTTGGCCTCTCTTCTTGCTGAAGTTTGCAAAAATCCAAAAAATCCCATCTTCAATCACTATCTCTTTGAGTCAGTAGCCATTCTTGTGAAGCGGGCTTGTGAGAGGGACTCATCACTTGTATCTGTTTTTGAAGCAAGCCTCTTTCCTAGGCTTGAAATAATATTGTCCAATGATGTAACTGAGTTTTTCCCATACACATTTCAGTTGCTTGCTCAGCTCGTTGAGTTAAACAGACCACCTATCCCACCAATCTACATGCAGATATTTGAGATTCTACTGTCACCCGAATCATGGAAAAGAGCCCCAAATGTTCCTGCCCTTGTGCGTCTACTCCAGGCCTTCCTTCAAAAGGCACCAAATGAGATTAGCCAAGGGGATAGACTGACCAAAGTGCTTGGCATATTTGACACACTAATTCAATCTTCAAGTTCATCCGAACAAGGATTTTATGTGCTGAACACTGTCATTGAAAGTCTTAACTATGATGCCATTAAACCTTATATCTCTCATATTTGGGCTGCTCTTTTTAGAGAACTCCAGAAAAGGCGAACAGTAAAGCTCATCAAGTCTCTTTTGATATTTATGTCACTCTTTCTCATTAAACACGGTTCTTCAAATGTTGTTGATACTATGAACAATGTCCAGCCTGATATATTTATTGTGATTCTGAATCAGTTCTGGATTCCTAATCTTAAGCTGATTGTTGGAGATATAGAGCTGAAATTGGCTGCAGTTGCTTCAACCAGACTCATCTGTGAGTCGCCAGTTCTTCTGGATCCTGCAGCTTCTGTATCCTGGGGTAAGATGGTGGACAGTATTGTAACACTTCTTTCCCGGCCAGAACAAGATAGGGTTGAGGAGGAACCTGACATGCCAGATATAACAGAGAATGTGGGTTACACTACCACCTTTGTTCGTCTCTATAATGCTGGAAAGAAGGAGGAAGATCCACTTAAAGATATAAGAGATCCCAAGGAGTTTTTTGTTGCTTCATTGTCCCGACTTTCTGCACTATCTCCTGGGAGGTACCCTAAGGTTATCAGTGAAAACGTTGATCCTGCGAATCAAGCAGCATTGCTTCAGCTTTGCAGCACTTATAATCTCTCAATAGTTTGAGTAAGTTGGTGCTCTAGTTACTCTCCTTTTTTGTTTGTGCTTTTACTGTGTTTGTGTCATTGACTTTTCCTTCATTCACACACACATATATTTTGAGACAAATAATATTGCCAAACTACTTGTTGCAGCCGTTATATTTGTTTTTATTCTGTTTTTATCTGAGCTCTTTTGGGCTAGATGCGAGTCTAGCTTTATATACTGTTGACCCTTTTTAGCAGGGTGGAGTTGTTCTTCTTTGCTACTGTTGTAATTTATATAATTTTTCATTGGTAGCAACAAGCATGGGAGGGCCGGTCATACAACATTTCATTTTATCGTCATCATATTTGTTATGCTGTGTTGTGAGACATCTTTACTTGCACCATTTTATAGAATGGGAGCTATGTATGTAACTCTGAAAGCTATGTTCCAAGGGAGGAAAAATCATTGTTCTTAGACTTTTATCCTCCTCTTCTTTCTCTTGGCTGGGGGGAACGCTCATTGCCATGTTGCAGTTTATGTGGGCATTCATCTAGCAGTTCTAAAATTTTGCTACTTGAGTGGAGATTTAACAAAATACTCAGCAGAAAGATTTTGATAGATGCCAGAAAGAAATATTGGAATCTGGAACTTATTATTAGAGGCTTAAGCAGTCCTGCACTCTCTGTAATGCCAATTAAGTATGGAATTATTATGTTTGGCTGACTGCTTAATCGCTGAGGTAGCTGTATTTTGCTACTTAACATGCAAACACGCCGAATGTGTTTAGTATTTAAGTCGTTCTTTGTTCTCTATAATGCGTACGAGATTGCTTTTAGTGTCAGGAATATTATGTTGATATTAGAATAACAGGAAATTTGTTTCTGGTGCTGTGTGCACCTGAGTTATATTTCATTATGCTTCTTGGTTGATCAAGATTAATGAGTCAGACAAGTTATCTGTCTAACAAGGTATTTCATCCTACTTCTCAGGATCTTGTGCTGGAATACGAAAGGGTGTTATTGGCCGGGTCCCGTGTTCTGCAACATTTATGAGCTAGCTGAGAGTGCTTCTTGCATTACAACAAATAGGTTTCAACGACTATTATCATCATCCATTTTTACCGGTGCATCGATCATATGCTACGATGAACTGGATTTTCTTTTAGTCCCATCTCCAATATTTTAACAATGTGATTGAAGTGCCATTTGATCTGTTGGGATTTTAATGTAAATTTTTTCATGCTCCCGGATTCCCATTTTTACTGCAGTTTCACTTGTTCAGCATGCCAGTGAGCAAATTGTAATGGATATTTGCGATCAATTTTGAGTAAACTTGCATGTTAAAGCAAATTTTATATCAAACTATTATTTTTGTCGGGAAAACATGGAGTGATAATGGGAACACACTGCAAAGAGAAAACAACTGAAGTCACATGATTTATGTAATTTGGCACCTCTTATCTATGGTCACAAACGTTTCCATAAAATGTTACAATCTCAAATAAATATTAGAAGTTTTTCTGGACAAACTTAAAAACTTTCCCCGTGTACTATATTACCTTGCAAACCCATTTCCTTGGTCAAGTTTAGAAACGATTCACCACCATTATAAATGGAGGACCTTCTAAAGAAAAGCAACCTCAAATCAAAGAGGAGTCATGTGAAGGAAGATAGAAAAAGAAGTCCTAGTGACAGATGTGAAAGTCTTGTGAGAGGTGGAAATAGATTCTCTGCAATTTGGGCTGCAAGCAAAAACGAAATTGTCCTGCTCCTCTCTCTCAGCCCATCTTTCTCTCTTCTCTTTCGGCCCATCTTTGTTCTCCTTCCTCTTCCCCTTTCCTTTTTCCTCCCACCACTTCCCTATCTCCTTTTCCTCACTTCCATTGAATCCATTCCATGAAGCCCTCCTCCCCCTCTCCCCCCATGCAGCCCCTCCTCTTCCTCTCCCCCACACATCTCCCTTTTACCCTCATTTAGCCTTCCTCCCCTTCCTCTTTTAACCCTTTCATGCTCTCCTCCTTCCTTTTCTCCACCGTTCCTCCTTGTCCTTGTACTTCTTTTTTGCTTAAACAATTTTTTTTATTTTTGTTTAAACGAATTTATTAGTTTAAGTGAAAAATTACTATTTTTTGTATTTCGCTTAAGCAAATCAAAATTTGTTTAAGTAAAAGTGAATTATAGGTTGCAGTTATTGCTGAAATTATAAAAGATTCAGATGCTATGAGAGGAGTTTCAGATTTTGATTTATTATTAATATAAAGTTTTTTATACGTTGTAAAACTATACAAGTTGTAGAGTTCATAAAAATATTATATAATATTATTACTGGTTAAATAATTAAGAAAACATGTATTATAAATAAAAAGAGTGTTAATTTTTTTTCACGATGTTATTTGCACAATTTAACCAACATACACAATCCTGCTCTGAAGATGGCTTATTGATATCATGTTTTGTGCGAACATCTCAAAGTCTTATGTTTCTTGGAACACCGTTTTGGCTGTGCATGTTGAGATGGGTGAATAGGTTATTAAAGGAAGCTGAAAAGGTGATATTGTCTTGTTGGGTCTCGTTTATGACGCAGAGATTCGACAAAGATTATGATGTTGGGGATTGAAATTGTTTGTTATGAGCACAATGGGATGTATAAGGAAACACTGGTTTTCCTTGTGGCCTGGTAGTTCATGACCCCCTGGCCAGTGATACCACAAAAGATACATGATATCACGATAAATACAACAACGATTTAAAAAAATATGTGCTCGAAGATATATATACATCCCATTTAATGTAATTAAATTTATTGATATATGTAGTAATTTTATAATAAAAATAGTAAAATTCAATGTAATTAACTACACTTATACTACTAAACATTATAATTTTTAATAAAAATGTACTATAAATATCCTTATATGCTATGTAGTTGCACAAGTTAAAAAATCGATACAACTATAATCTTATCTTCTCTTTTTTTACATTTATCTCATTGGATGAAATAAATTATTCTGTGTCATTGAATTTAGTCAAAACAAGATAATGAATAGTTATACCATAAGTAGTACAGTTGTCAAAGTCCATGAACTAGTCCTACACAGCCCTATATATGGCCCAATTTATGAGTAGCCCACTTAATAATAGGACTTTGTTGAACAAAAAAAGACTTTTGGGGTTGACACAAAACAGATTTCTTTTATTATTCTGTTTTTACTAGCTGACCATTCTTGTAGTATTTTCTATTGTGACAGTATGGAATTAAAATGTTTAACAAACCTATGTTTTATTGTTTTTCTTGTTGCTTGCTACTGAAATGCTGATTACCTAAATTCTTGGGACTATTTGTTTACGAGGACAAAGTATTGATGTAGCATATTTTGATTGATAACCTTATAAATTGAAACAAGTTGGATGATATGGAGCCAATCTCCTATGAAGGATGCTTCTTGTGGTTGATGACTCTTATGAGAAAATAAAGATAAATCAATGAATATGAAGAAAATCAATGCATCTTTGGGCTTGTCTATATCTCATTCTGTTGAAGATTCTGAAGCGTGTTTGGAATTAAAAAATGTCCAAGTAAAATCAGATTAAGGATTCTGGTTTCTATTACCAGCCATTGAGATGCCAATTCTTGTATTTCATCTCAGTTAATGTGCACTTTTAAAACCAACGGTACTTGATATGTTCATTTATTTACATAAAAGGAGCAGTATAGAAACATAGCCTGTTTCTATTAGAAATGTCTAATTCGATTTTCTTTTAATAGAAAAATTATTGCAAATTCAATTCTGCCCCACCAATAGGTACTAAGAACTTGTATGTTTTCTGTTTTTAAAAATAGTTTTTTTAAGTAAATAAAATAAAATTTATTTATCAACATAAGTTTTATTTTCGTTTTCTTCTTAAAAATATCTTTTTAAATTTATTTTAAAATATATTTTTTTAAAAATAAAAATCAAAACATAAACAAATAAATCCTAACTCTGTTTGGTTTATTTTTCGTTGTTCTGAACACTCTGAGTCCCTAATATATTGAGATATGATAGGGGCACGTATAAGATAATTGGGCTTTTGGGCCGAGGTCCTTTGGACTAGGGTTCGGTGGCCCGGATGTTTCATAAAAAATATTTGCTCATATATACTTTACATGAACCCAAACAACATTATAAAGAGCTAAAATAGATAATATATAGTTATCAAACTACATAGCTATCTAAAATAAGATAAAACTATCATGAATAAAAGCAACATATATCAAATTAACATGCTTATTCATTATAATTTGAACTCTTTCGTCTTCTTGTACAAATAGATAATAATATATTTAACAATTTTTTTTAATATGTATGCAAGGTATACAATAAAAAAAATTGATAAATAATAAATATTTATCAAAATTTATAATATTTAATATTATTAATATGTTGATTCTGGTAATTTTTAATAAAAAATTATAATATATAAAAAATTGTATGTTTAAATAGACACCGTCTTCATTTTTAATAGACACAAACATTAAATTTTGTAATTTATTGCACGTTCATGAAAAACTTATGACTAAATGTTGTACATCAATATTATTGTTTCCACTTTTAATACATAAAACTCAGTTTCAATTCAATTTTTTATTCGTCTGTGCTATTTATCATGAATTTTTTAGTGAGAATTTAAAAAATAACCGATCAAGCGTCCTCTTTAAATTTAATTTCATTTAATATGTAAGAAAAAAATTAACTGATCGATGGTTTCGATTATTCATAAATAAAATCGTCCAACTTTTTTCTTTTTTCTGTATTTTACCTATGCAAATTAAATGGATTTCTTTTTAAAAAAGACAATTTTAAAAATCACACGGTTTTTATAGTAGTATTAATAATTTGTGTTAGAAAATATTAGAAATACGTGGAATTTAAAGATCTGTGGCTGGGAAGAATTTACGGTTTTTTCATGAATGGACGAAGTTTCCTATCCATGATCGTGTTTATATTTAACACGGCTGAAGAAATTAAATTATCATAAAATATTAATTATTTGTAGTTACTTGTATTTACGAAGTAAATTTTGAATTACAGGAAATTAATGATTTAAGTTTAAATGTAGAAATATGTTATTCGCAAGAGACAAGTAGTTTTGTTCCCTAACTTTGACGTTAAAAAAATAGAAAATGTGGATTTGAAAAGCAAAGGCACGCTTAAGCATCAAATTCTGTGGTAAAGTCAAAAACGTTTCAAGTCTTATTCAAAGGAAAATCTCTACATTCTTGCTCAAAAGACGACAATATTCAAAGTTGAAAATCCTTGCCTTTCAGCTGAAAAATATAATAAAATGTGAAGAGGAAGTGAAAAGAAAGAAATGGGTCCCATAAATTAATAATTTAAATTAGGAAGCGATGGTGCTAACCCACCCACCCATGGAGTATGGGAACAATGCTCATATTAACCCAATTGCCCATGATTGTCTTCACATGTTTTAACATGAATTCCGACATTAAATGCACTAAAAGCCAGATAAACCAAACCTCAATTACCAAAAAAAAGTATATAATAATAAAATAAACCAATGTCAAGAAGAAAGCGATTAACTAAAAAAGTGACCAGACCTCCTAAGAATGGTGCTTCATCATGTGTCATGTGTACGGTTTGAGGAAGCAAAGAAACACAAACCGAATTGGTCTACACATGGGGTGTGCATTCAAATCACTTGCCCCACCAAAACTGTATTTATGTCCCTAACTAAAGGCAAGCATTGTGGAAACAGCAAAATCAGGTCAACCCTCTCTCTCTCACACACACACATACACAGCGAGAAAGGGTCTATTTCAAAACCCAATCCAAATTAATGGTGAAGAATAGAGAAGATTCCCTCAAGATACTAGCTTTATGCGAAAATTTCAAATTTAATTATAGGGAATAGAATCACTTAGGTCAGGTCAAGTCATGAGGACAAAATTAGCTATATTCTTAGCAATTGTTACCAAATGATCCAATCGCTAATCTTTGATTAATGGAGGGATCTGATCCCTAATCTCAATGGAATCTACAGATCAGCTTAAGAGAATTATATGATAAGGTTGATGCTACTTTTCCTGTTTATTGCCTTGCCAAGCTATTTATTCATTTAAATTAAATAAAGTCAAAATAAAATCATATGTAATTATGTATTAAATAAATAAAAAGGCATAGCCCTTAAGATGGGGCAAAAGTCATTTCATATCTTAATAGAAAATAATTGCAGCAATTGGCAATTATAGTATAACTAATAGTGGTGTACTAATAATTAATGGGAAGAGTTTACTTGATTAAACTCCACTTAGCATGTAATTGTGCCCAAGGCATTAGTGAAGGGGTGGAAGTTTTGGCCTTCCCCAACCAATGCCACTAAAATTTCCCTCACAGTTGAAGTACCCCAGTGCTATTGGTCTGTCCTCTACCCCATAATTTAATTATTGCCAATTTACATTAATCATAGAGAGAAGGAGTTT